GCCTGCCAAATCTTGGCCTGCTGTCTTGCCTGAGGCCGGATTCCTGCCCTGCGTTAGCTAGAGAGTGGAATTGTATTTTGGCCGCCCACCTTTCTTGAAATCAGTCGAGTGGCGGAGATAATTCAGAGAGCCTTTTGTTTGCAGAAGAAGAGGGGGCGCTGCCGAACTCGCCGGAGGGGAAAATTCAGGCGCCTGAGTGCAAACCTCTTGCCGGATCTCAAGCTGTTGCACAAACCGAGGTAACCCCCCCCCCCATCTCTCTCTCTCTCTGTCTCTCTGTATGCGTGAACAGATCATGTGCATTCAGCTGTGTATGTCTTTGTTCTGCTCATGCATCTCCCCACTGAAGAGCTGTTTTTATTTTTCCGTACTGGCCGGTTTATCATAATTGTTTTGGTTAATTGGAATGTTACTGACACGGTGCATCATATTGTTTTGGTTAGTTGGAATATATTGACATGCTTTATCATAATTGTTAGGGCGTGAGGACACCTGCAAGTTTGGTTAAGAGCACCCATGAAGCTTTGGGGCAAGAAGCATTCACTGATGAACAGCATGAGCAGTTGGATGCACAGATACTAGTCAATGCAGATCTTAGGTGAGTTATTATTACTTGCAAGTCCCGACAGTTATATGAGTTTTTCCAATTTAATTTATCTTATTTGTAGCCAGGGAAAGCCACTAGCAAAGGCCGCCGTACGCCCCGCACGCGACTCTCCTCCTCTAGGTACAGAGATGCCAGTCACTCGGCTTCTGCTTTTTAATTTATGTCTGAACCCTTCCCCCCTTTTTCTTTGGATGCAAATAGGGTTTTTTATAGCCTGCCAAAATTTGGGCTACTGATGTTAGTGCGTACTTGAGGTTGGATTCCTGCCTTGCATTGGCTAGATTGCCAAATTGAATCTTGGTCACTTACCTTGCTCGAAATCAGTCAAGTCGATGTAATACAGAGAACCTTTTGTTTGCAGAGGGAGCACTGCCAAATTCACCAGAGGAGGTTCAGACCCCTGAGTGCAAACCTTATGCCAGATCTCAAGCTCTTCCAGAAACTGTGGTAACCCCTCCCCTCCCATCTCTGTATGCATGCACAGATCATGTGCATCCAGCTGTGTTTACTCATGCTTCACTTCCCTCCCACATGGTCTGGCTCCCTCCCTACCGAAGAACTGTTTTTATTTTTTGGAATGTATTTTTAATATTGACATGGTTTGTCATAATTGTTGTGGTTAGTTGTAATATATTGACATGTTTATCATAATTGTTAGCATGTGAGGACACCTGTAAGTTGGGTTAAGAGCACCCGTGAAGCTTTGACGCATAAAGCATTCGCCTGTGAACTCCATGCACAGCTGGATGCACAGATACTAGTCAATCCAGATCTTAGGTGAGCTATTACTACTTGCAAATCTCAAAAGTTATTTGAGTTTCTCCAATTTAATTTTATCTTCTTTGTAGCCAGGGAAAACCACTAGCAAAGTCCGCCCTACGCCCCGTGCGCAACCCTCCTCTAGGTATGGAGACGCCAGCCGCCTGGCTTCTGCTTTTTAGCTTCTTTTTGAGCCCTTCAATCGATAGCTTGTCCAGCGAGTTTGTGGTTTTGCTGTGCTTGCTCACGTGCCCAAGTTACCTTTGCCGCCCCTCTTTTTTCTTTCAAATTCATATGTACTTTGGGTGTAAAATAGGGTTTTTTATAGCCTTACAAAATTTGGGCTACTGATGATTTACCTGAGGTTGGATTCCTGCCTTGCATTGGCTAGATCGTGAAATTGTATCTTGGCCGCTTAACTTGCTCGAAATTAGTCAAGCTGATATAATACAGAGAGCCTTTTGTTTGCAGAACGAGCACTGACAAATTCATCAGAGGAGATTCAGACTCCTGAATGGAAACCTTATGCCGGATCTCAAGCTGTTCCAGATACAGAGGTAATCCCCTTCCCCCTCTTTCCATCTCTCTGTGTGTGCCATGCAGGTGTGTTTGCTCATGCATCACTTCCCTCCTACATGGTCCGGTTGCTTCCCTTCTGAAGAGTTTTTTTCTTTCAGAAATTATTTTTTTATACATGTCAATCTTTTTGGTTAGTTGGAATATATTAACATGATTTATCATAACTGTTAGGGTGTGAGGACACCTGGAAGTTCGCTTAAGAACACCTGTGAAGCTTTGGCGCATGAAGCATTCACCGATGAACAGCATGCGCAGTTGTATGCACATATATTAATAACTGCGGATCTTAAGTGAGTTATTACTTCTAAGTCTCAACAGTTATTTGAGTTTCTGCAATGTAATTTTTTTTTCTTTTTAGACAGGGAAAACCACCATCAAAGGCAGCCATGCTTCTGGCCTTTGGACAACCTGGTATGTGCAAATACATGTCGATGTAGATTTTCTGATGTGCTCTGCGTTTACCTTTTCTACCCTTTTTAATGTTTGTGATAACGTACAGTGGAGGGTCAGAAACATGCATGGGAGGAGGTTTGGCGTGCTGCTGTTGACAGATACCAGAACCAAATGTCACCACTGGGCTTTGAGACACCTTTTAGTTCCCAGAATGGTAAGTACGTTATGTTTTGCGGTAGATCAACTGCTCATATTTTTTGTTCCATCACTAAGTAAAACTAGCACAGTGGCACACACACATTTTCCTGCAAAAATAAGTTTCATATAAGATTTTAGTACCATCATATTTCCAAAAGACAACTCCAGTTTAGATAACTGCAATAATTATAAGAGCGTCAATTCGACTTACTTTTAAACTTTTTGTGCTGTTTTTGGTGCAGAAACTAAGAATCCATGAAATGGTTAATGATTTATGATGAAAAGGGAAATGCGCTGTTAAATTACTAATTATATACTAGTTGTTAGTAATCTTATAGAAAAGTTCAGTTCACCACTTCACCACCAAATTCAAAACCAAACCAGAGATATCTCAATGAGTGTCAGATAGTTTGCAACTACTCATCGTGATACATATATTCTGTCTTCTTTTCTTTCACCATTTTTTGACAATATTTCTCTCTTTAATGCTCTCCTTACATGATTTAGAACAAAAATGTATAGAAAGATAGTTTACTATACTTTTCATGGCAAATATACTGACTTCTTGAGCTTTGGGAAACTTGGACTACATGCTTTCAAAACTAATTTCTACAAACAAACTGTAACATATAATTTTCCGAATTAGTTGAATATCTTATTAGTAACATACTCCCTCCGTCCCAAAATAAGTGTCTCAACTTTGTAGTAACTTTAGTGCAAAGTTGTACTAGGTTGAGACACTTATTTTGGGACGGAGGGAATACATATATATTCAAGAAAGAATGAAAGCTTCTTTAAGAAAACATATCTTCACGAAACGTGCTGACAGAATGTGACATACCTTATTTAGGCCCGTTAGAACCATCTCCTAACAGCATGAGGAATCTTGAGGAGTTTGAGCTGAAGGAGGCGCATTCAGAGCTCGATGATGCACAGACTAGCAAATGGCAGAACCAGAAGTCACCAGTGACTGGCTTTGAGACACCCATCAAGTCTGTGATAGGTAAATTAAATACTTTGTATTTTGTGATAAATCACATACTTGTATTTTTGTTCCATCATCACTAAATAAATGAGTTTGCAGGTAATTGCACAGCTCAAGGTTTGGATGTTCAGAATGGTGGAGAGATTCAGCAGTCAGTCATTTGTGCTGACAAAGTTGATCAAGAGCCACCTGATGACAGAAAGATAATGGATACAATCTATGGTGGGCTAGAGTCTGTTTGTGGCAGCACTCCCTTGGAAAGTTCAGAAAGCTCGACGGAACAGGACTCATGTGTGAAATGCGGTAAAGATGGGCAGTTGCTGAAATGTTCCAGCTGCTTCTTAGCCGCCCATGCTACCTGTTTTGGTTCATCGGTGACATTCGATGACTCTGGCCATTTTGATTGCCCTGTTTGCTATTGCCGTAAAGCCGCTAAAGCATTGGAAAAGGCTAAGAAAACATACTCTGAAGCTAGAAAAAAATTATCTGTTTTCTGCAGCGGCTGGAAGCAATTTTCTAAGGAACACAGTGAGCTGATGAATGGCTTTCACACAGCTAAAAAGCAAGGTAACCATCAGTCTGAAGCAGCTGAGCTATGTCGCAAGGATGGAGAGCCTAGTCATCTGAAAGAAAATGGTACAAGTGATGCTTGTCCTGAGAATGCAGTCACCACAAAGACAACCATTTTTTCGAGTTCTGAGAATGCAAAATCCCATGGAGACAGCAATAGCAATTTGTCTCATGAAGTGCCATATTCAGCTCGGGATAGATCCAGTTCTGTTGCAAATCGCAACATTGGGGTTGGCAAAGAGAATTGTCTAATGAATTCTCCCAATTGCAATTTTCCTGATAGACTAGGAGCTATATCTTCGCGAAACATAAGCCGCCGCAAAGTAAGCTTTCAAGAAATGGGGACAGTGGCACCAAATAGTACTTGGAAAACATTGAGGTACCAAGATCAGTTTGTGCATTCTCCAGCAAGGAAAAGATATTATCCATACCCACCCGAGCATTAGTAAGTGCCAAGTACTTCTTTTTCCAGTTGCACTCTTTGAATTGTTATTACTTATTAAGGATGCCTGTGACCTGTGGTTAATTTAGATTCAGATTACAGAAAAAACCCTGATTTATACTTGCAATTAAATAATGCTGTGCCATGGATGTTTGTAGGCTGGAACCTACCAAGTCACAGTTTCTCTTGATTAACTGAATTATTTAAGCTTGTTAGTTCAGTATCATGATAGCATGATACATTTAGCTTCGAGATGGTATAAACCTGAGAAGAATAGAAATCTCTAGAGTGAGGGGTAACTATGCCCTATACTGGTACGAGGGAAAATCAGTCTCTTCATTGCTGGATAATTTTGGATTTGCAGTAGTTTTCACACTCATGGTTAGTTCAAATGGGTTTATATTTAGGACGGTGAAATTAGAGTGTACTCTACTCTTTACCTATCTGCATACGACGCTGGCCGCTGTGGCCTGTGGCATAGCTATGGGCATGTTGTTACTGTTAAGCAGTTTTGCGTAGGCACATAAAGTAATCTGCACGGCAGTGTACCCTCTGCTGTGCAGTTTCACATCTGACGGTGCACGTACCAAAATAATCCACACACATGGAAAAGGGAAGCACACACTAAAATTTCTTTTACAATAGCAGTGTTTCTAAATGCATACGCCCCGTTTGTTGTGAAAATACCCTTGTTTCCATCTAATGTGACGATACATGCTCTGTTTTCATAATCTCAAAATCTGTGTTGCAGCTACAGTCCCCACACACCAGCTATGAGGAGTCCCCTGGCGCCAAGTAAAACGCCTTTTACAGGTAAAACACCTTTCACATCGACAACCGCGAGGCGCAAGATGATCTTCTGGACCGAGGCAGAGGAGGTGGCTCTGAGGGTAAGCATCCCGCTTGTGATTTCATTGCAATACAGACTGAGCGATATGATGGATGGCTGAGGGAGGTTACCATGAAATTTCATTGCCAACTCCGAACCACCTCGTAACTGAGCTGGGCCAGCATTTTCCATTCAGTTCCCTAGTTAGTTAGTAGGTAATGTGCATGTAAACTGTGCGCGTACTCACGCACCATTTTCCCACCGGTTTCAGGAGGCGGTGGCGAAGTTCGCCCCGAAGGGGGAGGCTGCGAAGGAGAAGAGGTCGATCTCATGGGTGCGCATACACGAGTATTGCAGGGAGTCGATCCACCCCACCCGCTGCCCGGACGACCTGCGGAAGAAGTGGAACCGCATGAAGAACAAGCTGGGTGGGTGTCCTGAAGACGGCAGCGTAGGAGGAGACGGCTGCTTCTGAAACACCCCTCCTCATCTTGCTGTTGTAGGTGGAAGGGAAGAGAAGCGGCCGCGCCCTCGGCGCTCTACCGGCGAAACGTCTCTGCCCTAGAGGCCTGTTTCGCCCTCTGTTGTATATGTGGCGCGGCGGCGATTGTCTGTCTATATTTATGGGGAGTCCAGTGACTCCTCCGATATGTGAACCAACAATGTATGCATATGGTGGCTGGGGAGAGAGGTTTCTGTGAGATGGATGTGCAAGGATGATGATTATGATGATGATGGCAGTTGGTAGGGAGGGGAGCTGCACAGCCACCATGTGTTGATGAACTGTATGATGGAAGACTTGTGGTCTCAGCTAATTAATCTTGCACCAGGATGGATTTCCATGCCTGACTGACTCACAAAAAATGTTGTTTCCAGCGGCTGTGCTGTGCTGTGCTGGGACTGTTATATTGATGTCTAATGTTAATGGACAATTTGTTGTTCTTCTCCCTTATGCCGACAGGCGAAACTGCTTTGCATGTTGTTTGATTGATAGTACTCCCTCTGTTTCTTTTTACTTCGCATGTTAGGTTTGTCTTAAATCAAAGTTTATAAAGTTTTGACCGAATGTATGTTGAATTTTTTTAACATCTACAATGCCAAATGAATGCAGCATGAAAATATATTCCATGATGGAACTAATGAGACTGATGCAAATGCTGGTGTTTTCTTCTATAATGTTTGATTTAGGAAAACCTAATATGGGTAGTAAAAAGAAGCGGAGGGAGTAGTAACACGGCGTATTCTTCATTTGGGATACACCGGGTTATTAGTTTCTGCCTCGTTCGTGCTGGGTCTGTGTGGGGCAAGATTGAAGAAATAAAGAGAGATAAGAGCATCTCTAGCAGACCCCTTATGTCGCCGACCCTTATCGTGCGTTTACGTTTTGCGGGCTCGCGTGGGCTGCGGTCGGACAGACCCTGCATAAAATGTGAATATTATTGGGCGTTTACGTTTTATAGTTCCGCTATAAACGCATGGTTATTTCTGAATTTTACACATATCTCACATATGAAAGTAATATGAATTCAAATAGCATAAAATGTGAATATTATGAATCCAAATTACAATAATTATTCAAATCATCGAATAAAGCTAATCAACTCAATATAACACTTGTTCCGAATACAACAATGATACCGATCACACATGAATTAAATGAAATGAAAGTAAAATTGGCCGGTGCCTTTGCCAATGGTGCTCAATGCCTTTGGCTATGCCTCTGCCAATGGTGCTCAATGAGATCCTCCTGAAGCTGATGGTGGGTGTTTGCATCTTTAATCTGTCGGTATGATTGAAGGAATGCTTGTATGCGGTGAGGGTCTCTAGTTGGCTTTACACGGCTACCGACATTGTCGTAGAAGAACTCCCAGTTCAAGTCCCTCTCATCTTCGATGATCATGTTGTGAAGAATCACAATATGTCATGATGTTGCGCAGGGTTTTCTTGTCCCAAAAACGAGCAAGACCACGAACAATGGCAAATCTAGATTGCAAAACCCGGAAGACTCTTTCAATATCTTTTCGGGCAGCCTCTTGTACCTTTGCAAATTCAATATTCTTCCTTGTTTTGGGCTTTTTGATGCTCTTCACAAATGTACACTAAGAGCGGTAAATACCATCCGCAAGATAGTATCCCTTTGTGTACTCATGCCCATTCACCATGAAGTGCAAGCAGGAGCATCACCACTAGCAAATCTAGCAAACAAATGAGACCATTGCAACACATTGATATCATTAAGAGTACCCGCCATATAAAAAAATAATGCCAAATCCATAAATCCTCAGATGCTACGGCCTCTAGCACAATTGTTGCATTACGAGACTTGCCACAATACTGCCCGTGCCATGTCTTCGGGCAGTTTTTCCAACTCCAATGCATGCAATCAACGCTTCCTAGCATATGTCGGGCCAACCTCGCTTCTCATTTGCTGCTATTAACTTTTTTGTGTCTTCCTCGTTGGGTGCACGAAGATAGACATGACCAAAGATGCGGATGATCACTTTGGCAAACCAACGCACGGACTCAATTGTAGTATCTTCGACGAAGATACTCGTCGGCATAGTCAGCCGGAATACCATATGCAATCACCCGCATAGCTGCGGAAATTTTTTGATAGGCGCTAAAACCGAACAAGCCCACGACGTTTCTTCCTTTGAGTAAAAAAACAACATTGGCTTCGCAAGCTTGCATAATTTTTACAAAGAGTGATCGGCACATTTGATACCTTCTCCGGAAGAGGTGCGGCGGATAGGTAGGATTGTCCGCGAAGTAGTCTTGCATCAACATCATGTTCCTGAAATGGTGGTTGTGGGGGATGCAAAGACGGCTGACAGTCGAACCTCGCCGTCTCTTGCAGTTTCGATCCTCGACCTCCTTCACGGCTAGGACCGCCACTACCATTTGCTGCTGATCGCGCTCGAGCATCGATTCCACGTTCGGGTCGTCGGACAAGGACGAATCCTCGAGCAAAAAATGCTCGCAAGGGATTAATAAATCCATCTACAAAAGCCACATTCGAGCTCGCATCGATGGTATGTCAACTGTGGGCCAGCTAGAGGGGAAGAAAAGGGGCCCACCGGGGCGGCGGAGACCGGCGGCGGCTTGGCGAATCCGGGGCGGGCGGTGGTCGATCTGCGGTGATGGCGACTTTGAAGCGGCTCGACATGGCGGATCCGGGGCGGGAGGTGCGATTCCGCTGGCAGAAATGGCCGGAATCGCAGGCGGCGGGCTGACGGCGGGAGGGGATGTCGGGAGTGCGCACGCTGAAATGTCCCTCCCGCCAACTGCTTTCGCGGGATACAGGGCATCGACGGGGGGCAGGGGGGCGCTGTTTTTTGGCGGTTCGAAGGGGGGAATTTACCGTGCCCATCAAACTTTCTTACGGGTTGGATGCTTTTAAGGTTTTTGTTCGGGTCATTTTTTTCGTCCAAAACCGTAAATTGACGGTTATTTTGCGGGTCGCGGCGACATAAGGAGTCTTCTAGAGATGCTCTAATACTGTAAATAACTGGAGAAGAAGACAAAGGGGCAAAACTGTCACACAACGTGGCGAAAAAGAGCAAAGCATTCAACTTTTGAAGTAGCAACGCCTATGTAAAGGTGAATTATCAAATGGAAAAGTAAAATGTGTGTTAAGATATAATTTTCCGACGGAAACAAATTTCCTCCTCTTTTTGTTCTTAATAAGAACAATAGAGAATTTGCCCGCCCACCCCGTTCGCTCCTGGAACCGCTCCAGAGAGATGATACAGGCTTTCCTCAACACCACTGGCGACGCTGGGTTTTCGTCCGTTTTTGTATGCCGCTCCAGCGGCGGGAGCGAGTGGGGACCTTGGCAGTTTATGTCCGGTAGAGGTATAGGATAGGCATAGTTTTGTTTTCAAAGGTGCTGCATCAAATGATGGGGACGACCCCACGTCGAAATAATTTGCTTCGGCTTTTCCTTCATCTCGGCAACGCTCTAATGGGCGGCAACAGGTAGCAGGTGGCTCGGTCTTCAGATCCGGTAAGGTTTGTGGCTAATGGTCAGCGCTCGACACTCTCTTGGGCGGAGGTTGCGGTTGTGTTTGGTGTCTTGCAATGGGGGGCACATAGATGACGGAATGCAGCGGCGTTCCTCTTCTTCGATCTCGTCGAACAAAGCTGGCGGCACTGGGATCTATCGGGCATGAGGAAGAACCACGGCCGACGTGTCACAGGGTCTTGGCCTCGTCGCTTGCAATGGTCCGGGTTCATCGGCTCCTCTAGATCTTGGTATGAAGGCAGTTCCCCTATTTCTTTCAGCGTCGCCTCGGCGGCGGAGGAGGACGATGGCGGGGTGACGTCTTGGCGTGGCACAAGATCCCGCCGAAGTGAACATTCTTGCGAAGTTTTTGATGCGGTATTTGCAAGACATATATATGTGCACTTTTTATACTCCATCCGTTCCAAAATAGATGACTCAACTTTTTGTGCTAACAAAATTAGTATTATAAAGTTGGGTCATGTATTTTGGAACGTAGGGAGTAATACGTTTGTCTAGTGAAAATCTACGTGGTTATTTCAGAAAAAGGAAGAAAGAGAAAACAAAGGAGGCATAGAAAAATACTACTCCATCCGTCTTAAAATAAGCGTCTTAACCTTAGTACAATTTTGTATTAGAGTTATTACAAAGTTGAGACACTTATTTTGGGACGGAAGAAGTATATACTAGTATAGTATATAATATAAGAGCGTTTTTTGACACTGGTGGTGGAACAATAGGGCAAAGGGGCAAAGCCGTAATAAATAAACAAACAGAAACGACCTGAGACGGTGGCGAGACCGACTCGCGTCCCGTCCCGTTCCGTCCGTACATAAACCCCGACCCGACGAAACCCACGAGAGAAGAAAACAAGGACTGTCATCTGCCCATCGACTTGTTCCAGAGCCAGGAGGAGGAAATCCAACCCCGCCGCCGCCGCCATGAGCGCCATGAAGTTCTGCCGCGAGTGGTACGCACGCGCCCCCCTCCTTTTCCTCCTTCATCCGTCCCGTCGCTAATGGCGGCCGGAGCTGATTGACCGATCGATTATTTTTGGTGTCCGGCAGCAACAACATCCTGTACCCCAAGGAGGAGAAGGAGCG